CTTTCTCTCTCTCTCTCTCTCTCTCCCCCCCGGTCGACTAACTGTTTACCTTTTTTTCGACCGATTCTGTGTAGAGCGCCTTTCGAGGTCGCCGCGTGCGAGAACGCGGCGAGAGAATGAGATAAGTGCTAAAACACTGCTGCGAACGTAAACGATCCTGCAGATTCTATCCAGGCCTCTATCCAGGCCTGTTTGCACGAACTCCGTGCGAATCCGTCCGTCCGTCCGTCCACGGGCCCGCGCGCACGCGGGCGCGCGTCGCGCACCCGCTCGCGACGCTTGTTTGCCAAGAGCTGTTGAAATCAAGCGTGCCCGATGTGTTCGATGGACACCTCCGTCCGTCCGTCCGTCCGTCCGTCCGTCCGTCCGTTCTTCGCGGGTGTGTCTCGTTACCAACTTCACTCTCTTCCGTGCGAGGAACTCACGCGGTGTCGACCGACGTGACGTAACGCCATTCGTATATCATTCTTCGCTCGTCTATTTCCTCCTATCTCTCTCTTTTCCTCTCTTGTCTCTCGGCAATCGATTTATCGCACGGCGACCGTTGTGTAGATCGCCACGTCCGAGAGGCACCGCGTCTTCGACGCGTCGCCGCCAAGGCGCATAATACGGTGAATAACTCACTCGAGCGGAACGCCGCCGCCTAATGCCGGCGAGCGCGGCCGCGATCCGAAACCCGCGGCGCGATTCGGCCGCTCGTGGATCGCGCCATGACCGCGGGTGACGTTGACGAGTGGCGGCGCCGAAAGGGAGGCTCGCGATCGCCGCGAAAAATGGCTTCCTTTATCACTCTTCTTCCTTCGCTCTATTTCTCCCCTCCTCTTCTTCCTATCTCTATCCTTCTCCCACAGCTGTTGACGAGTCGAAACACTGTCGGTCGCGGCGAACGTGGAATCGTGACGTCGCGCGCCTCGAGCGCGACTTCTCCGACGTGCCCGCCGTGGAGCACGTCAACCCCCCCGGTTTTTTCCCTTTTTTTTTTTTGCGTGCGGCTGCCCGGCCCGGGACGCGCAAAAAAATGCAACCGCGACAAAGCCCGGATATCGTGAACCGTGAACCGCGGACGCGGTTTCAGCACTGACGCGGGAGCCGCGATTCGAACGACCGTTCGGCCGTGCTCGGCCGTCTCCGCCGGCCCTCGTGTCTGCCCCTCACGGTTCGCCGTCGCTCGCTCTCGTGTCGCGCGCCGACTAGCGGGGGAAGACGCGGCCCGCCGCGCGGAAGGGTGAAAGAGCGGCGGGGGCGGGGTACGCGGGCAACGCGATTTCTCGCGCTCTCTCTTTTACTTTCGACAATCACCCGGCCTTCCTCTCTCGCTCGCGCTCTGCGCCGAGCATCGCCAAAGTGGGAGAGCAACAGCTTCTCCTGCTCGAGCGATACGCTCTAACGATACCGGCCTCGCACCGCCATTCGGAGAATTCCCTCGTTTCGCGATTTTCAAAGAGAGAATGAATGCATGGGTCGGAGCAATTTGGTGGTAACGTGCATGGTAACGTGACGCGGGAGTACAACCATGATGCGCGCCCGTCACATGCTTAGAAAATTTAATTTCAAACAATTCTGATTTATTTCATTATTTATTGGACCGGACAAAATATATATGCAATTTCTGGTCTTTATTTCATGTCTTGTATTAAAAACTATTAAAGAGTGTAATTTACGAATCGTCATATTTTACAATCATATGCATAAGTAACAAAAATAATTAGAGAAAACAGATATGTCTATAATCGGTTCTCAAGATATTGCAGTTTGTAATGAGCAAAGTCGTGAATCGCGACGTCATAATTATGCGGATGATTTTTCAGTGAACGCACGTGGTATAACCAGGAATTTTCTCGAGAAAAGAAATGACCACGCGCCGAAACGGCCGTCTCGTATCGACGAATACTCGAATTCGCGAATTCGCAAAAACCCAGCTGAATCATCACGCATCGGCCTTGACGTGTATATAAAAATCCCGGACCGTGGATACGGAAGGACGAGATTCTGACCTCCTGCGACCTAATTCCACGGGCACCGTCCTCGGCACGGAAGAGCTTGAGAAAGGTCGCGTACGCTGTGAAACATCATGCAAAAACCCGCCCCTGAAATGGTTCACGAATTCCTGGGGAATTTCTTCGGCAGACGCGGAAGATGGGAAAAAACGGTCCTAGGATAAAAAGTCACCCACCGCGAAGGGGTCGATGAACCCACGCAGATATATTTTAACAAGCTGATTTCCTCTCGCTCGTGTCGTCACTCGAAGCGGCAGTGAATTTAAAGATTTTACGCGCGGATCGTGAGTATCCGTTTAGAAAGAACGCGAGAGAAGGAAAATATATCAATCTTAAGATTTTATTAAAAATCTGCGGTTAAATTTGTTAATATAATAAATTAATATAATAAGGATAAAACTACAAATTGCAAAATCGGTTCATATTAACAGCATACATATGACGTAACTTAATGTGTTGAGACGATCAGATAGTCTAAGTTAATGAGTTATTTGAATGAAATTTACTTCTTCCCGAGCCTATCTCTTTTATTACGCTGTACCATCGACCTTGAACCGCACATCCACTCCGCCAACTTGGAATAAAAGGAAAAAGAGAGATGTATGATGTCGCCAACCCCCGTGGCGTAGACCAGAAAGGAGCTATAACCACAAATCTTATCGCCGGAGATGGAGGAAGACTAGAATGGGGTTGATGGTCATGGTTAGAGGGTCATGGAACTCTCAGTGTTCCACTTTCTTAAATGCGCTCTGTACTCTCCCAATAATATTATATTTTCATAGGTCAGTGGAACGGAAAGCGAATCCGAGAAACCACATCCGCCAATAACGCAATCTTGAAACATCGGCAAATAGAGAGACCACTAAATTGGACAATTTATACAATTTCCATCTATACAGCCGAATGCTTTTTTTATTGCAGAAGATACCGTCTTAATCTCACATTGCTGTGTAATATAACTAGATATTAAGCAGATCACGGAAATTTTTCAACATCAAAGAGTATTAATTCGTGATAGACTAACTAAATATCATTATCATTATTGTAATCAAATAATCAAAACAATAAGAAGAAACAATCGATTTCAAGCGAACACATCTTGTATATTTATTTGCTAATGAGAACCACCGAGTATTGCATCCTGCATCTGAAAAACAAAGGTATAAGTAAGTTAGCGTTCGATGGAATTCCTCTAAAGAATCTCACCGATTTAATCGAATGCCGATATACGAAAAAAATTGGTTCGATCCTCCTAACAGTCGGCGTACGTCTCGGTGAAAAATCTAGCAACTTTGCGGGTTCATTCACTGGCCATTAATAGGTCCTCTGTCCTTCCGTTTCCTCAAAGAAAGGAGCCGCCACGAGCGACGACGTTGTCGACCCCCGCGGAGTGCTCCAAAAACAAGCTATAACCACAAATCTTATCTCGCCGAGGGGTAGGGGAGAGAAGGGCGAAGAAGAAGACCTCAAGGGGGGTTGCTGGTTAGGTTAAAGGGGGAGTTCGTTCCACCTTCCGAGCTACCTAACAAGTAGCTTGTAAGAAGAGCCGTTTCGCCCGGTGATTCGTGCTCGTAGAGCTGCCGCCGTTGCCCCGAGGAAAAACTGCGACACGGTTTTTCGGCCAATGGGGTTCTCTCTCGAAGTTCAAGGCCATTCTCAAAGATAGCTACGGCACGAGGGGCCGGTGAGAGGGGGATAGGAGAGGAGGCGGGCTTTTTTGTTTCCAATGCTCTTCTGGCACTGCTATGAGGGCGACCGACAGACCGACAGACCCCGGACTGCTCCTGCTGCTACTGCCCGGCTGTACGTCTCCTTCCTCGCTGGCGCCAGACCGTTTTTTGGTTACGCGTTCTCCTCAATGACATCGATGCACCTTAACATTTTTTTAGACTACTGATTGAGGGTAAAGCTCAGATTCGAAGGGTTTCCCATCCCCCGAGTCGAAAATCGGAGCGTTTAAATGATATATGGCGCGACTTATGAATATATTCGCGTCAATCCGAACGTCTGAGTAACGCGTAACGCACGAATCTAAAAAATAATACTTTTTTTTATTAACATTAATGAACGAAATAATAAACAAATAAAGAATAAATAGATCTTGATTAAGGTATCGCTTGATACCAAGTTGTTATTAGATACTAACCATTAATATATGCTGTGTTGATTTATATATATTGAATTACATTTTTCGATAGACTCTGGTCATTTTATATAAATAATTTTATACTTTCTCATATTAACAGAAGAGTTAAATATCAGGCCAATATTCATAATTAGTTCTTATATTTAAGATTTTAAATATTTACTTAAGATGATCTTGAAGTAAGAACAGATTATGAACTGCTTTAAGATAAGTTTTTTGACAGTTAAACAACATTTTATTTAATATTATCAAAATAATTAATCGTTTAAATAAAATTTCTCTTGCTATGTTGTTTCCTCTCTCGAATCTCATTATTTTGATTAAAAATACTACAATACATAGATTATGCTTAATAAAGTATTAGTCTTTATACAGTCGGTCTTTTTATTTTTCAGTTCCCATAAATCGAAAGATATCATATAAATAATCACTTTGATACGTATCTTTACGGTACATTATTAACGTTTTTATTAATATTTATTTGTAAAGACTGATCGAGAGGCAAGCCGTGAAAAGTCTTGAAAAATCTTCCAACAACTTGTTCAATGGCGCCCGGTTGATCGGCCATGTTGTCTTAAACGAGCAAAGCGAAAAGGGACACGAGGGACGGACCGAAGCAATGTAGCAAGAAATCATGAAACGGAGTAAAAGGATGGGGACAGAGATTAATGAGAAACGAATCTAGCAGAGAAAAGGACGATAGAAGAAGGTCGACTTGAATCGAAGACCACGGCAGCGTGGATAAACAGTCTTCTAGTGGATATA